CATGCACGCAAAATGATAATGGACTCAATGTCCGGCGGTGGCTGGGTGTTGTTGCAGAATGTTCATCTCTCATTGCCGTTCTGTTCGGAGGTCATTGATATGCTGGTGGAGACGGAACACATCGACGATACGTTCCGCATGTGGGTGACCACTGAACCACATGCAGATTTTCCAATAGGCTTACTCCAAATGGCCATTAAATTCACCAATGAGCCGCCGCAGGGCATACGCGCCAGTCTAAAGCGCAGCTACCAGGTGAGCTGTATTCGTTGTTTGCATGTCTTTAATTGCTGACGATGTATTGTTTTGCTTTGCCGCCACCCACAGGCTTTCACGCAAGACTTCCTCGACTACACCGCCGCGTCGCAATGGCCACCACTGCTGTACACAGTGGCATTTCTGCACACCATCGTGCAGGAGCGTAGGAAGTTCGGGCCGCTGGGTTGGAACATACCGTATGAGTTTAATCAGGCGGACTTTGCGGCGAGCGTGCAATTCATACAGAATCACTTGGATGAAATGGATCCGAAGAAGGGAGTCTCATGGCAGACGCTGGTCTACATGATTGGAGAGGTGCAGTACGGCGGTCGCGTGACTGATGATTTTGATAAGAGACTGCTGACCACATTCACGGCGGTGTGGTTTTGTGAGGGACTCTTGAGCAACTCATTCGAATTCCACAAGGGATACAAAGTGCCGAATACGAAGAGTTTGCAAGGCTTTGTCGACTACATAAACAGTTTGCCAGCTTATGACACGCCAGAAGTTTTCGGCTTGCATTCCAATGCTGACATCACGTATCAAATTAATTCGGCTAAAGGTAAATGCCTTCTTTTATTGATGCCAGCACAATTGCATAAGACTGTAAGATGAGTTGGTTATGAGAGGATAAAGGACACAGGTGGGCTCATTCGTTAGGACATAGACATAGTGCATATGTGCATATTTGTTGGTATTTATGTGAGTTAAGATGTGCGCTTTGGTTTATTTAGTGTTAATTGAAATGTGAAGAATTGCTGAGTTAACTAAAATAATATTCGTTGCGTGGAAGAGTAATAAAGTAGAAGTAGAAGAAGAAGAAGAAAACAATGTCTCAACTCATCCATTCATAAATGTGCTAAACATTTTATACTCAAACTATGTTTGTATGTATTTGAAATATATCAGCGAACATCCAATGAATTAACCTATTTAACCTATTGTAACAATATGAAACTTAGCTGTGTACTTACATATACATATACATATATATGTAGCTATTTATATGCCTGCTTCAAACCCAAAACCCGACCTTTATTTGTCTGTAAATATTTTTCGTTACGCCAAAAAATTAATAATTTTCCACTCACGCAAAGGTATTTTGGACACTATATTGAGCGTACAACCGAAGGAGGGTGGTGGTGGTGGTGGAGAGTCACGCGAAAGCATCGTCTATCAGCTGGCGGACGACATGCTGCGCAAGCTTCCGTCACAGTATAATGCTTACGAGGTGCGTGAGAACCTGATGCGCATGGGAATTCTCCTGCCGATGAACATCTTTCTCAGGTAATTGTCACATTTCACACCTGAAGCCTGTTGCTGGATTACTCTTACATTTTTTGTATATTAATAATTACCTATTGAATATCATTTGTTGTTGTTGAGAATCGGTATTCTCCGACTTTTTCGTTTTCGTTTTTTTTTTTTGAATTAACCAATCTGCAGGCAAGAGATTGATCGCATGCAGAAAGTGATTAAGAAGGTGTACACATGCTTGTGCGACTTGAAATTGGCAATTGATGGCACCATTGTGATGAGTCCAGCATTGAAGGAGTCCTTGGATGCCATGTATGATGCACGCATACCGGAGTCGTGGATGAAGGTTGGTACATG